AATCTTTGCTCTGAGGAGCATTCAGATTGCACTTTTTCAAGGCAGATCTATTTATTCTGGCAATCCATGGCATATTCAACATTCTTCACCAACACCATTCAAAGGCATCAATTCCTCGTTGGCCTTCCTTATTCATTGTCCAGCTTTCACTTGCATATGAAATACTGTTATTTGGGTCAGGCACACTTTAGTTCTCAAAGTGACATCTTTGCTTTTGAACACTTTAAAAAGATCTTTTGTATCAAATCAAATATACCATTTGATTTCTTGACTCCTGCTTCCATGGGTGTTGATTGTGAATCCAAATAAAGTGAAATCCTTGACAACTTCTATACTTTCTCCATTTTATCATGATGTTGCTTGTTGGTCCAGTTGGGATGATCTTTGTTTTCTTTAGGTTGCAGTGTAATCCATGCCAGTCTGTCGGTTGTGCTTTAAGTCCTCCTCACTTTCAGCAAGCAAGGTTTTGTCATCTGCATATCATAGGTGATTAATGAGCCTTCCTCTAGTCCTGATGCTGTGTTCTTCTTTATGTAGATCAGTTTCCCAGATTATTTGCCCTTTTATGCTGGTTTTTATCTTAAAGTTTACTTTGTCTGAGGTTAGTATTGCCACTCTTGCTTGTTTATTGTTGCAGTTAGCTTGGTAAATTTTTTTCCATCCTTTAACTTTTAGTCTGTTTTCTTCTTTGTGTGTAAGGTGTGTCTCTTGCAGGCAGCATATTGAAGGGTCTTGTTTTCTTATCCATTCTGCCACTCTCTGTCTCTTCACTGGTGCATTCAACCCTTTGACATTCAATGTAATTATCGATATTTATGAATTAACTTTATGTTACTTTTTTGGTGGTGCTTATTCGTTCTTTTGTTCTGCATGCCTTCTTGTTTCTTGTGTTGGGTTTGTGTTTTTTGTGCTGTTTCTTGTCGGTTTCCTTTTAGTTTTCATGTTTGCTTGTTCTGCTTAGAAATTCATTTTTATGATAAGTTGTGAAGTATTAACTTTCTTTGGGATTACCTTATAGTCTACTAACTTTTCTCTCCATTTAAGGTAATCCATTGTATCCTTTAATTTACCTGGCATCCTCACCACCTGGGTCTCTGTTGCTACATTTGTCCCTTCTTTGACATTGATATACTTTTAGTCTTCAGTTGATCTCCCAGCTCCTTTGAGTTTGTTGTTGTAGTCTTGCTCTGTTCTGGACTCTGCTATCGGTTGACTGAGTTCCAGATGGTGCCGCCACACCTGTCAAATCTCTGTTGTTGTTTGTTCTTGTTGGTTTTCAGTCCACAGAACTTCCTTTAGGATGTTTTGAAGTGCTGGGTTGCTTTTGATAAAATCTCTCGGATTTTGTTTATCGTGGAATGTCTTGACCACACCATCGTATTTGATTGATAGTTTTGCTGGATGGACAATTCTTGGTTGACAGTTTTTTTCTTGTAGGGCTTTATATATGTCTCCCCATTGCCTTCTTGCCTGCATGGTTTGTTCTGAATAGTTAGAGCTTAATCTAATTTGCTTGCCTTTATAAGTGACATTTCTCTTCTCCCTGGCAGCTTTAAGTATTCTTTCCTTGTCTTTGATTTTGGAGAGCTTGATTATTATATGTCTTGGTGACTTTCTATCCTTCCTGGGGCACGTTTGGCTTCTTGAATGTTTATCTTCTCATCTTTCAAGATGTTAGGGAAATTTTCTTCCAGCAGCTCTTCAACTATCTCCTCTGTGGACTTCTCTGATTCTTCCTGTTCCGAATGCAAATAATTAAGCTGTTCCTCTTCATGTTACCCAGCATGAATCATAGACTCTCGTCAGATTTTTTTATCCTTTTTTCCTCTTGCTCTTCTATCTTAGCAGTATTGAGAGATTTTCGCTAGTTCTGGCTTCCATCTCTTCTATTCTGCTCCTTTCCTCTTTCAGCGTATTGTCCATTTCTGATATCCTATTATTGACCATCTGGACATCTTTTTGTAGGTTTTGAATTTTTTCCAATGCTGTGTCACTCTTACTTGATTGCTCCTGTAGTACTTTCCTGACTTCTTCCTTGTTTTCCTCCACCCCTCTCAGAGCATTTGAATTTGTTTCTGTATCATTCTTCTGAATTCTTTCTCAGGCATTTCCAAAACCTGCTCTTCCTCCTCTGTAAAGCCTTTGTCTGTCTCCAGCTCATTTGCATCCGCTACTCTCTTCTGTTTTTGCACATGTTTCGGTATCGCTTGTTGCTTTTTGTTCATCATGACAGATATGTGGGGTTTTTTGTGTGTGTTTTTTTGTTTTTTAAAGCTTTTGTGAATGTTTGTTGTTAAGCTTACTGGGTGTCTCCTGGTGAATATGATCAGGAGATAGGCGTCCCTTTTCACATATAATGCTTAGTGGGTGTTGTTGGCTCTTGTCTCAGTGGTGTAATATTGTGGGTTATGGTTATAGCTTGGCCATATGGCCACAATTACTGTCTTTTCTTGAGTAATGTAGGGAGGAAAAGCTCCCTCCTCCAGGAAAGATGTGTAATCAAAAGGACTAATGGCAGAAGCAATAAAAATGCATAGACAAAAATCACCACTTTGGAACAGAAATGAAGCTGTGGTTGACTGTCCCGAGATACACTATTAGTGTGTGTGAAATTAGAAACCTCCAGTGGGAGGTGGCGGTGTCCACTCTCTCAGGTCCCTCCTCTAGTCACTATAGTAGAGGTACGCAGGTAGATACTGGGGAGTTGATGGGGTAAAGATTGTCCACTATTTTTTGTCTCTGAAGGTGTTAGGTATCTGCGTGTACACAGCACAATTCTATAGATGGTTGAGTCCTTTTGTGCTGGAGTTTTACAGATTGCTTTGAATTGGTCCCGCGCAGGGAGCTCGGATAGTGTAGCGGCTGCGAATGGGGCCAAACTGCAAGGTCAGCAGATTGAAACCACCAGCCGCAATGTGGGTAAACTGCGAGGTGCTCCACTCCCGCACAAACCCACAGTCCCGGAAACCCCACACAGGGCCGTCTGGAGTCGGAACCTACTCCACAGTGCACCGCTGCGAAGGATCCCTCTGGGGACACTTTTAGGTCTGTGGCTCCATGGGTGATGTCATAAGTCACCGCCAAGCTCCCTCTCTCTGTACCATTGGAAAACTGTCCTGACTGATGTCTGGGCTGAGCAATGAAGCTGGAACAGGGAGATAGAGAGAGAAATGCGTAGTATCCCACATCTCTCTCTCTTTTTTTTTTGCAGATGCCTCTGCACCACTTTTAGCGCGTTTTTCTGAACTGGACTGGCTTTAGCCCTACCCTCTAAACTCTGCCAGGGCAGGGTAGTTGCTGAGGGAGTCCTGTCTTCAGATTCCTAACTTGCAGTATTTTCCTTAATATCATGATTTTTTTCACTTGCAAGTGTGGGAAACTGTCCTGGATCTTATGGTAGATCCAGAACTCTGGAGTTGTTCTGTGAGCGCTTCCTTCGTGAGAGCCTCCTCTCTTCTCACTGGAGCATGGTTTTTGCTGCTATAACCCAAACCGGAAGTCCACTCAAAATGCTTACTGTTGAAGATCAAAGACCACAGCATTCAAGATGGATTGTACCTTAATATAAAGAAAACAAAAATCCTCACCTCTGGACCAGTAAATAACATTAAGAAAAATGGAGAAAAGTTTGAAGTTGTCAAAAACTTGTCTTTGCTTGGATATACCATCAATCAACACTCATGGAAACAGCAGTCAGAAGGTCAAATAATGTGTTGCATTAGGCAAATCTGCTGCACAAGACCTCTTTAAAGTGTGCAAGAGCAAAGATGTCAGTTTGAGGACTAAGGTGTGTCTGACACGAGCCATGGTATTTTCAATAGCTTCATATGCATTGTATTTTCAATAGCTTAATATGTGAAGGCTAGGCAATGGGTAAAGAAGATGATAGAAGAATCAGTGCATTTGAATTATGATGTTGTGGAAAATGTTAAAAGTACCGTGGACTACCAGAAAAACAAATAAATCTGTGGAAGAAGTACAGTCAGATTCTTCCTTAGAAACCAGAATGACAAGACTTTGTCTCTCATACTTGATACACATGAGAAGGGACCAGTCCATGGAGAAGGACATCATGCTTGGTAAAGTAGAGGCTCAGTGAAAAAGAGGAATACCTGACACACATGCACACACACTGAGATGGATTGGCACCATAGCAGCAGCACTAGGCTCAAGCTTAACAATGATTATGAGGTTGGTGCAGGACCTGGCATTGTTTTATTATGCTGTATATACGTTCACTCTGAGTTGGAACCTACTTCACCTAACAACAGCAACCACCTACCCTTTACAACCAGTGACACAATTAGCCAGAAATCTACAGGTGTAGATCTCCCAGGTTTTCTTCTATATGTGTGTGTATTAAGTGCCATCAAGTCGGTTCTGACTCATAGCAACCCAGTATAGGGTTTCCAAAGAGCGGCTGGTGAGTTTGAACTGTCGACCTTTTATTCAAGTCAACCTGTGGTCCAGTGCGTATTTCTATGCATACTCTTTTTTTCACCCCCTCTGTCCTTGTATCAGGGGTCCACTTCCATCCTATAGCCCCTACCTCATCAAGATTTGTTTTACAGAAGAAATGTGTTCTCATATATATTCTCCTCTTATTTGTATATTCTTTTTTTTTTTTTTATTCTTTTGGTAATGTCCATTTCCACTTTTGCAGCATATCCCTTTATAGGGAGTGATACTTGTTTGCATTCTTTAAAGTCAGATTTGCCAATAAACCTGATTTTATAACTTGGGACAGTAACTTTATCAATGTTTTGATGCAGCAAGCCACCCCTTAGAGGTAACAGATTTTAGTCTGTAGTGTGGTTAGACTTTGAACAAATGAAATTTTCTGTATTTAGGTTATATCTTATCCAGTTCATGTCTTTTGGCTGGTTGAACATAATCTTCATAATGAGAAATAGAAACTGTATAAGTAGCTCCAGGTGTCCAGTTTAACTTTCTTCTCAAGTATCATTTGCGATCTGTTCTTACTTAATTTTTTATTTTAGATCACAGATTCTGCTGGCCATATTCTTTACTCCAAGGAGGATGCTTCCAAGGGGAAATTTGCCTTTACCACTGAAGATTATGACATGTTTGAAGTGTGTTTTGAGAGCAAGGGTAAGTAAGTAGAATGTTGTCCCTGGATTAAACTTCTCACAACACTGGAGTGCCCTCTGAAGTTAGACAGAGCATGAACTTCCTTTTGTGTCTCGGTTTGGCAGGAACGGGAAATGAGAATGGTATATTTGCTGAAGGTCACACACACGTAAGTGAAAGTTGGCTAATCAATAGTTCTTTGTATCATGTGCTGTAGTAGGCATTCTTTGAACGCTAGAGTTGAATTTGGTACTTCTGGTATGGCGCTGTAGGGTAAGCACTGGGCTATAAACCACAACTGGTGGTTCAGACCTACCAGCTGCTCCTTGGAAACCCTGTACAAGGTTGCTATGAATCGGAATCAACTTGATGGCATTTAACTACAGAGTTAAATTTGGTATCAATTCTAAGAGATAGTAAATTTTTATACTGTTGTTAAATGCATTGATTTGGTTATAACTCATAGTGACCCTGTATAGGGTTTCTGAGGCTGTACATCTTTATGGGCGTAGAAAGCTTCTTCTTTCTCCTGTTTTCTGTGCTAGTAACGTGTTTTCCCAGGGATTGGTAGTAGGTTCTGTCTGACTATCAGAATTGGGGCAAAGTCAGAAACAGCTTTGGCCTCCAGAGCATTTGCTAGATCCTAGCATTTGCTAACATCTTGCTGTGGGTTCTTCTGTGCCTCTACAGGCTAATAAGATCTCATAGTAACTTCCCTGCCGATTATCTGGTGGCCTCTGTGCTGAGTAGTGGATGGAAAAGCAGGCTACTTTTCACTTCCTGTTTTGTTTTTTTAGCTTCAAGGACGTTAGTCCCTAATATGCAGTGTTTACTTGCTGTATTAGCTGAGACCCTTTTGAACTGCAATGCACATCACAAAAATAGCTCATACTGGCTTACAGAAACAAGATAGACCATTTTGAATATCTCACCTGGGAAGTTCACATGTGCTGATATGATCATGGCTGGAAGTTGGGGTTTGAATGGTTTCATTAGTTTTTGCTCTTTTCCTCCATCTGACTTTATTCTCAGCTCTGGTAGCGTAGTGGTTACGAATCGTGTTGTGAACCGCAAGGTCAGCAGTTCGAAACTGCCAGCTGTTCCGCGGCAGAAAGATGAAACTTTCTGCTCCCATAAAGATTTACAGCCTCGGAAACCCTGAGCAGGGTCACTATGAGTTGGAACCAACTCCACGGCACATAACAACAACAACAAGTCCATAAGGGAGCAAGGCAATTTTAGCTTCTTCCTGGATTGGTCATGTCCTGCCAGTTACAAGATCCTGCAACAGTTTTGTAGATTTCTATAAGATTGTCCCACTTTTACCTCAAAACCAAATTGTTTAAGAAGACTAGTCATGAGCTTCTTGTTCACACCCGTTCCTGTCTCGCATGAGTCTTAACGCCGCCCTCCCAGTCCTCAGGATCCCATTTTGTCCTTTCCGGTGGTCCTGCACCATCCAAATCTGTGAAATCCTGTCATTAGTTTTCTATTTGAGATGGCCGCTTTTACTGTATCCAAATCCTGCTACCAGATTTATCTCCTAAAACACATCTTTTATCATGTCAGTCCCTTTTTCAAAAACTTTCTCTTCTTTGTTGTGACAATAATGTTCCTGTTGTATAGAACGAAACCCAGAATCATAGGATTTTAGAGCCAGAAGGGATTGTAGGCATCCTAGCACTTAATGGTCTTTATAATCTCAGACCAGCCTTCTCTTGTACAACTCATTAGGTCCCGACCAGTCTGGTTTTCTGCCTGCTAAGCATGTCATGTTTGTTCATTTGCTAGAATGCCTTCTTCCTAAACACAACCATGAGCTTGCTTTTAGTTATTTTAGAGTGCCAGTTTAGCTGATTTCATTTTTCATTGACTGATTCCTTCAGCAAGTATTTAGGAAGTGTTTAAAATATGACAGGCACTGATCTGTTCATAGGGAATATGGTAGCGAATAAAACAGAAGTCCTTGCTCTCAGGAAGCTTACCTTCTCATTGGGGGAAATTAGACAATAAATAGAAATCAGCTGGTCATAAGGGCTGTTGCAGGGGGAATGAAGCAAAAAGACTTTGAGGTGCTGACATGTCAGAAACAGCAAGGAAACTAACTTGGCTTCTTCTAAATAGTATTTCACTTACTGATCGTATCGTTCATTTAGACATTTTAGATTGCTAGATAATACTTTGTTTTGATGTCTCGTGTATACGTTTTACATTCCCGATTATATTAAGCTCTGTGAAGGCAGAGACTGTTTTGTTACTTTTAAGTTTCTTACATGCAATATGTGTACTACCCTTGTTTCCATGGTCGTGACTAACTGTTTGGACCCAGTTCTACGCCCTGAAACACGTTCTTGTTGGTATTGTTAAGTGCCATCAAGTCAGTCCATTCTACATCAGCACTTTGTTTCAAGTTTCATTTGTGAGCTCTGTGTATTCTAACATGGGGAGTGTACGTATAGTGTGTAGTCTTTGGTGCACCTTTTAAAAGATTGTCTATTTATGAGGCAAATACCAAAAAAGAAAGTACTGAAAAATCTGTCTTAAAAGGAGACCCTGTAGGGCCATGATGTCAACTAAGGGGATAGGCTGGCTGTTCTAAATGGGAGATTGTATAGGGTGGAGTCTGACCAGCCAGAGCTCTGTGGTTTTGTGGTTTCACTTGGACTTGAATAATGCTGTGCTGTGGCAAACATGCTGATATGGGGAGAGTCGGTTAGGAACAGGATATCCTGATCGTTGGTCCAGGGAGAGCTGTGAGCTGCTGGATTTCTTAATTTGTTAAATGAGGAAAGGAAAGCAAAAATTTGCATTGCATCTCTTTTGGCGATGCTGTGATGAGAAATGGAGTCCTGGTACCCTCTGCTTCCTATAGTTTGCCAAAGTCCTGCCTTTAGTGGTCTGTCTTCAGTGACACCTGTCCAGGCCTACCATATTTTTCACATATACTATGTCCTTGCACATAGCATGCTTAGGAAACAAATGTGTGAGGGGTTGTGCTGGTTGCAAAAGCCAGATAACATGCACATTTGATTGTATAAAAATATGGTGATTCTCCTCTGACCTTAACTCATATAGCTAGCAGTATCTGAATTGGATGGTTTCGTTTAAATTTTTGCAGTGCTTTGTATTTTTCGTGTGATTGCTGTGTGTCTTAGAACCCACTGAATTATTTTAAGACAGAAACTATACTCTAAAAATCCACAATTCCTGCACCCTGTGAAGTCTCAATCAGTAGTTAGCTGACTTTCAGAAAACCTCCAGAGTCTCAGGCCACAGAAGTTCTCTGGAACTGCAGTCACTAAATGATAATTCAGTTCCCAAAACAGCCTCAAAATTTTATAGTCAGGTGAATTCCAGGGGATTGGAGCTGAACAGGTTTTTGGGGGAGTCCTGGTGTGGTACTGTGGGTTAATGCGCCAAACTGCAAAGTTGTTTGAATTGCAAGTTCAATGATTCCAACTCACCACTGTGAGGTGAAGTGGCAGTTGGAAACTCTATACAGGGTCGCTGTGGGTCGGAATCAACTCAGTGACACTTCACAACAACAGGGTTCTTGGAGTTTTTCCTACTGGTTGATCCAATTCCGTTTTTTAAAATGAAGCTTAATCACATTAATTTTTCTAATATGAACATTGCTATTATTGTTCATACTTCCCTGATAGACATTCATCTTTCTAAGAAGCATCCCTGAGAATTTTACTCCAATAATGGTTTTTTTTTCCCTTTGGGAGATTCTAATTCTCTTAAGGGTTTTATGGGAATAGCCATGTATTGAACAGGCCTTTTATTGATCAAAATGTTTGAATTAAAATGGCTTATTAGATAAAATAACGTTCTTTTCAATACTGACATTTGTGTAAGTAAATCCAAGTTTAGCATATAGCCAGTTATCCTAGTTGAGCATCACCGCCCCACACAATTTGATAGGGCCACCTTTTCAAATGCAGAAACATGCCTTTCCAGCCCATTTGGTACCTAGTCGCTATTGATCTCTGTTGTTGTTAAGTGCTATTCAGTCAGTTCTGATTCAGAGCGATCCTGTGTAAGGTTTCTGAGGTGAAGTGGCTGGCGGTCTCAAACCTAGGACATTGTGGTTCGCAGTCCAGTGCTTATCGCATGGAGCCACTGCGCTCCCTGTTGGTTTGTAAGCCACTCAACTCAGGTTTCAGAGTATTTGACTTTTACTTTTATTTCCTAAAGCAGTAAGCCTCTGTGCTTTCTCTCCTCCCATTCTGTTGCTCTAGTGCCAGCTGCAGTCTCTTGGATCCTGCCAGTGCAGAGATGTTTGCCAGTAGCATGTACTTGTTGCTTTCCGGCACCCCACACACATAGAGGCTTTGTCTGGAATGCTAGTGATTTTAGCTAGAGCCAGGAATTTTCTGCAGCTGAGTTGGGGGAGGAATTGTGCCTACTTCCCTCTATTGAGAAGTGTAGGGGTTATGGAGAGGGAGGGTGGATGGGTGATTTCCCGGAATTTTAAGTATTCTTCACAATGAATCCTTTGATTTCTTTTTCAGGAACAGGGCGGATACCTGACCAGCTCGTGATCCTAGACATGAAGCATGGAGTGGAGGCAAAGAACTACGAGGAGGTATGTATGTCCTACTGTCCCAGCCAGAGGAGGCAGCTGTGAGCTGTGTGGGGAGTTCTGTGCCCTCATCAGGCCAGCAAACAGACCAGGCTCTGCCCAGAAGACTTTGCTTTTCTCAGCAGTCACGTGAAAAACAAAAAGTCACGTGAAAAACAAAAAGCTGTATTAACAGTTTGAACAATAATTGTGACAGTTGGTTCAGTCCGCCAAAGGACTGCACCAACTATCTGATAGAAATGTTGCTGTAAATAAACATTCCGGCATATGCCATTAGCTTCAGTGAGGCAGAAGCTATATACCAGTGACAGTTTTAAAGCCTGGAATTCATTTACTTAGGGGCTTCAAAAAGTTATGGGAAAATTCCATTCTCTTTCAATTCCATTTTCCATGAACTTTTTGAAGCCCCCTTTATGTGTTAATGTCCAGTGTTTAGAAATGTGGTGTTGGTTTTCCATTCCTATGACTTTTTCTTTTTTTTCAGGCTGTCTACTTAGTGTGGTTTAGATTTGAACAACTGTGCTCTCTTAGAGAAATGCAATAGTCAGAGGTCCTTACTATTTAGTTAGATAAATGTTGTTGTTGTTGTTAAGTGCCGTCGAGTCGGTTCCGACCCATAGCGACCCTGTACAGGGTTTCCAAGGCTGTAAATCTTTACGGGAGCAGAAAGTCTCATCTTTCTCCCGCGGAGTGGCTGGTAGTTTCGAGCTGCTGGCCTTAAGGTTTACAGCCCGATTCATAACCACTACGCTACCAGAGCTCCTTAGTTAGATAAATAGTCAGAGCTAAAGAATTTTAAACTCTTAAGGAAGATAGCAGAATGGAAAAAAAGGCTGTAAGGCTGGATGGTGATAACAAGTTAAATTTGATGTCAACAGGAAGAAATGTAGAATAGTAAAAACTGACTGATACATTTGTATGGCGGGGAGAGGTGGAGGTGTGCATGGAATAAGGAGAGTTATGAGAGACTTTGGGAACAACACAGAAATAGTTCATCAAATGAAGAGCAACTTTGAAAACCCTAAAGAACTGGTTTAGCTGGGAGGCTTCATCTTCACAGAAAGATAAGAGTGTTTTTACTCAGCCGAACAGCACCTTAGGGCCTGAGGAAACATTAGGATACAGGAAATGTGCATGGTTTTTGAAGAAGGAACAGAAAAGGAGGAAAGTGGGTGGTTTTAGAGAGTTTTCTAGGAGTAGTGATGGAACAGGAGCAGAAGTTCTGTCTTTATTCAGGACTCTGGAAGGGAAATATTCTACAGTGAAGAAAATTGGAAATGAGTGGCAGATTCTGCAGTGGGACTAGTAGTACAACAATCACAGTTCTGAGGTTTTCCCCTCCCCTTCCTTTCTGATGCTGAAGTTGTCAGTTGGATGAAAAGTGGATTGTATGTAAGTGACACAGTAGTGAATGGAAGACTATTCCTGGGAGCGACTTTGGATTGCTTGTTTCTGTATCCAGTCTAGCTTTCAAAGAAATAAAATTTGAGTCTCTGTATTGGATGGATTTAAGAGGAAATTGAAAAATATTTTGAAACTGTCATGATTCAGAATAATCCTGATTCTATCTAAATGAGAATTAATGTGTGTTCAAGTGCTATCATAAGGTGTGAAAAGAGTAGGGGAAATGTGGTTGTTATGAGGTGGGAGAATAGGTACATTTATTTTCTGCTTGGGGTTACTGCTGCTACTGCCCTACTCTAAACAAGCAGTCTTTGAATCCCTACTATGTGGATTTCACCTGTTGTCATTTTTTTCTCCAACTTACAGTGTTATTGTGGACTTCCATAGAGAATGATATGAACGTCACTGTCATATAGCATTTTAGAACCCCTATACATCCTGGAGGAGTCCTGGTGTGGCGCTGTGGGTTAATACGCCAGACTGCAAAGCTGTTTGAACTGCAAGGTCTCGGTGGTTCAAGCTCACCAGCTGCTCCTTGGAAACCCTATACAGGGTCACTGTGGGTTGGAATTGACTCGATGGCACTTACTAACAACAATACCTCCTGTAAGAAGTTGTGGCACAGTGGTAAAAGCTCTTGGCTGCTAACCAAAAGATCAACTGTTTGAAGCCATCAGCTTGTTGTTGTAGTTAGGTGCCATCGAGTCGGTACCGACCCATAGCGACCTTATGCACAGCAGAACGAAACACTGCCCGATCCAACCTCACTATTGTTGCTACGCTTGAGTCCATCGATGCTCCCACTTGGCCAATCCATCTAGTTAGGGGTCTTCCTCTTTTTCTCTGACCCTCCACCTTAGCAAACATGATATCCTTCTCCAGCGACTGGTCCCTCCTGACAATATGTCCAAAGTATGAGAGACGAAGTTTAGCCATCTTGGCCTCCAAGGAGCACTCTGGCTGCATTTTCAGTATTCTTCTCCAACACCATCACTCAAAGCCATCAGCTGCTCCATAGGAAAAGCTGTGGCCGTCTGCTTCTGTAAAGATGACAGCTGCGGAAACCCTAGGGAACAGTTCTGCTCTGTCTGTAGGGGTTACTATGACTTGGAATCAACTTGATGGCAGTGGGTTGGGTTTGGTTACCTCCAGGAATGGAATTGCCATAATCCTTGGGCTGTTGACATTGAGAGGGGGGCTTTGTCTTTCCTGAATTTCTATTTAACCCAAGAAGGGAATCCCTAGCAGAAAGGAAACCACATCATTTCCTTTGCCTGCTTCCTGCTTCCGATGTCTAGCACGTCCTCAACCTGTCTTTACGTGCATAGTTACAACACAGCTCTAAGATTCTGCTTCTTAACCAAGAAACTCCTACCGACTACTTTCTTTAAAGGCCCTCCCATTACCTCCCATACAGCAGACCAGGTTGAAACATAAGAGTAGTGAGTATTACACAGACCAAAGACCAAACCTTTTCTTAGTCTATGTCTGGGTACCCTTGAATCTTGCTTAGAAGTAGCTCTGAGCTAGTGTCTACTGAGAACATGGGTACTAGAAGCTTTTGTTCCTATTAAATTACTGGAGAGCACCGAGCACATCAGAGTTCTTGAGGCTTTCAGTTTTAGGCCCTTGCTGTAATGGAGACCCTTTTTCTCTACGGGATCTGGGCCCTTTGGCATCAGTATTATGAAGGAGGAAGGTGGTGGTACGTTTCTTTAATTTTCTTCATAGCCAGCATATCATTCCTTCACATTTATGGCCTTTGTAGTTCTCAAATCACATGTGATTCTGTAAAATTCAATAGTAATCTATTTTAATGGCTGGGCAGAGTACCACACTACCTACCTAAATTGTTATGAAGGATCTAATTAGTTCATGTAAACACAATACATAAGATGATAGCATTTGGAAGGAAGACTGCTTAGTATTTGTAATTGTAGCTTGAGTTCTCTAAAGAGAAAGAATGCTTATGTCTTCAGCAATAAACCACTTGTTTTTGTTTTTAATGCTTTCCTTTTATTTTTAAAATTTTTTAACTTTTTGTTGTGAGTTGGGTGAAGGTTTACGGAGCAAGTCATCAGTTTTACATTCAACAAATCGTACTTTATGTCTTTAAAACCCTGTGTTATTTTTTGAGTCCCTTTGACTAGCTTTTGACTGTCAAAGGTGGCAGCTTCTTTTGTAGATTTCTATATGTTAATTGGAACTCATTTTAGTTTCTGGTCTGTGAACTAAAGTAGTTGTTTTCAGGGACTTACTATCTCAGCCATGCACTTGTGAGAATAACAATTACTGTCTCACAAAAAAATAGTTATTTCTGACACTCTTCAACTCTTGGTCTGTGCAGGTACCTTCTTGCTGTGAATGTAAGCATTTTCAGCACCTATGAGTCTGTCATTTGCTCTCTACTAAACCCCTGGTGCTGTAGGATCAACACTGAACTGTGAACCGCATTGTTGTTGGTTCAAATCCACCAGCTGCTCTTGGAAACCCTATGCAGAGTCACTGTGAACCAGCTGGATGGCACTTAACAACAGCAACAGCAAACCCAACCAAACTCAGTGCATGGAGTTGATTCTGACTCATAGCAGCCTATAGGAAGGATAGGGCTTCCAAGGATGTCAATTGTCACAGGAGCTGACTGCTAGGCATGCCTGTTATTGTGCTACCAACTAGTTCCGACCCTGTATAAGGTCTCCAAGGAGTGACAGGTGGATTTGAACCATCACCTTTGTGGTTAGCAGTTCGGTGTTTATCCTACAACACCACCCCAGGACCTCAGTGGATCCGAACAACTAGTGGGTTGGAATCCCCAACCTTTCATTGAGCAGCTGCACAGGGCTTCCTTGTGCTCTCTACATATACACCAAAGTCTGTCTGCGCTGGTTCGAGCACAGCCTAACACTCTCCAGAAGTTTTATTTCTCTTGACTAGCTGCAGGAGGAACTCTGCTTCCATGTACTGGATCCAGGTCCTTTCTTGACATGGCGTAAGGTGAATGAACTAACCCGGACAAGGCACTTGGCATAATTGGTCACTAGCTCCCTTCTCTTACCCTTCCTGGAAACTGTCAGATAGTCATAACAGCATAAATAGGATCATGCTAAATGTCCTCTAAGCCCCAGGATTGGCAGCATTATCTGCACTCATTTGGACACACTGTTGACCTTTTGAGCTTCTGTGCATAGACCTGTGATTTTTCTTACCCTGCCCCCAGGCACATGGTGATTTGTCCTTGGGTGTAGGTCTATCTTTATGTTAATTGTGGTAGACTAGATGGTCTTGTCCTTTATTGCTGGGTTTCTGGGTTCATGGGAAGTGTGGTGGCAGAGTGGCGGAAACAAGATTAATTGGACATTTGGCTTACCACATGAAACTGTTCTCCTTGCTCTTTCTGCTCCGCCAAGGATAGATTCTCCGGCTGGATTTACACATGTATTTTAAGATGTTTGTTTTCCAGAAAAGTGAACCCCTTTCCTGGTAAAGTTACATGTAACTCTGAACTCTTTAGATGCAGATGACCAGAGGAGTGGAAAACTTGGATTTGTTTGAGAAGAGTTTAATTTTATTGATATTTTGGAGGTGTTGTTATGGGTAGG